AGTACAAGTAATTCAACTATTGTTTAATTACCTAAGGGCCTTCCTTCTTTCTTCTTGCCTATTTGTTGTAAATAGAACTAACTAAAATTGAATGCAAAATTACTTTTTAGCTTAATAGTCCTTCTCATAGCTACTTCACAACAAAAATTATCACACAATTACATATGTAAATAAACTTACTTAAGCCGTTTGATTCTATTAAAAACAATGTCATGTATAGTTGTATGTTTCACCTTTTAATCTTACCATTCTCCTTTTGACTATCTCCACCCTCCTCTTTGTCTCTGTCCCCCTTCTCCTCAGTCCTCTCTCCTCTGTCTCCTTTCGTCACTTTCACCCTTACTTCATCTTTTTCTGCTATAAATACAATTATTTTTTGCTTTTAATGTACAACACAAACATACATGTACCAACAACTTACCAAGTTCATCTACCAAAAACAAAAGGCATTATAGTTATCACTATAGGGTTACACATTCCCAACTTACCATCAGATGGATGGACCTCAATGAGGACATCCTCTATTGGGGCAGCCATTACTTTTTGATTTTGAACTTACAGTTTCAGGTGTCTTATTTTATATCCTAAAGGTCACAGGTGACACTTGGTGTTCTTTGATTGGCAGTGAATGACGCAATAACTTCTATTTCGGTATTCTCCTCCCACACATTTTTATCATCAGTCCTCTCACCTGTACAGATAAACACAAATCACCTGCATTATAACTTCGTGACTAACTTTCTCTCGGGCCTTCTCTTTTGAGTTAGTAAGTTTTAAACAAAAATGAGTGTTTGTGTTTATGTTGACGTCTCACGCACATACTAGTTCCACACCTTTGTTTCTAAAAAGGGGATCCATAGTTTGTATGTCTTAGCGTTACAAACGAGTTCCTCTCCTTTAGGGGATCAATAGTTTGAATATTTGGCATTCAAACTAGTTCCACTCCTGTTTCAGGGGATCAATAGTCTGTTTGTTGTAGACAAACTAGTTCCTCTCCTGTTGAAAGGGGATCAATAGTATGTGCATTACACAAACTCATTTCTGTTATTCATTTACTGATTACATGGACAAGTTCTTCTATTATGACCAAATTGACCACAATTACCACATTTTCTTTGTGTTGCAGGTGGTTCTAGAGATTGCCTTGGAGAATGTGGTACTTCAATCTCCATTGCGAGGTCTGGTGGATCATCTACACCTGGAGTTGATTGTCGAGATGATCCTGTTAGTCGAGGTGCATCAGGAAGTGGGCAGGTTACATCTTTACATTCGTATCTGCAAAACGGCCTTATCTTTTCGTAAAGGTACCATTTCCTTTCAGTTGACATACCCTTTGGTGGTAATATATTAGGTAGTTCATCTTCCATTATTTGAGCGTCCTCCTTCAGCAAATTGAATTGTGTGACTGGGCCTTCTACAGCTTGTCTGGCTGCAACTACACCAGGTGGGGTCGCATTTACAACAAAGTGTTGAAAGCCTTTGATGCCTTTTATTTTCTTGAATAATGTAGCAAAGTAACTACACCAGTCAAGTGTTTCTACAATGAGTTCACCATTGCTACTTCCTACTGGTTGGGTTTTGTTCACAGCAGATGATTGTTCTACAACTTGAATGAAGTCATCCAATGAGTCCACCTCTGCTTTACGGAATTTTTGCTTTAATAGTCCGAAGCACCAGTCAGGAGAAAATTTTGTGTGTCCAACTGGCAAAAAAGATATTGAAATGGACGCATTGAGTCCTGTCATGACTCTCCATAAGAGGTACTAAAATAAATAAAAATTACATTTAAAATGTTCATTATTGTGCATGTAATATACTTACTTGAATAACTGTATTATTTTTATTTTGCCCTGTGCAGTTGTCAGCATTGAAATGGATACTGACTGAGTTGAGGCCATGATTCTTCAAATAAAAATGTACCATGCTTATGACAGGATTTGCCCCTTTACCAGTGTCGAATGATTCATTGATCAAGAAATTAACCTGCTGAGGGATAGCTTCACAGCACACACCAAATATGCCACATTTCCTGGGAGTAAGAAAATAAATTGGACCTGCTTGTAGTGGACTTGAAGGATAGTGAACCTTTAAAAAAGTAAGTGAGCTAGATACACTTTCATAATTATCATAAAATGTTACCTGTTGAGCATAATCGAAGCTATAATGTGCTACAATTTTAACATAGCAAGTGGCCTTGTTAGTGGGGGATTGTAATTGTTTGCTGCATCAGTATACAGCCCTTTTAACAATAATTGTGCCTCTTTTAATACATCCTTATAGTACTCCCTTCCTT